AAGGCATATCAGTAAGTGTCACGAATATCACTATCATCCTACAATATAATCCAATGGACTGACATCAGTGCCTTTCACCCACAAATACAGTGAGGAAACTTACATCAATCTGAAGATGCACAAATCATATTCTCTGGATGCTGCTACTACGACTTCTCACAGCCAAACCAACCAATCATAATCTCTATCAAAAAGGGTAAAAGACCCTTTTACCCTTTCTTACTCTAGGCTCAACAAACCATGACCCAAGGCCCAAGAATGGCCCAAAAGTCTTAAGGCCCAATAATGGCCCAAAAAGGTTTTTTTTGGTGAGTACGCTAAGCGTACCACCTTATTACGCCCAACGCACAATCTTACACGACAAGGGAAAACGGAGGCTGAATGCATTACAATGAGCGTACGCATATGTATGCCCATCATGCTCCCCTGATGGTGAAATTTCACGTTAAGCTCTTAATGACTTAAGTCCAAACGTCCAAAAAAACAGATATTGCTTAAGGGAAACACCATAAATGATAAAGTCAGCAAGTTGATGCCTTTGCATGGCTTAACAAGGCCCAACACCTTTTTCTAACACTCTAACTTCACATTACGACCATCAACTCTTGCATTGTTGAGCTAAAACCATCAAGGTGCCATTTTTATGAACAAGAGATCTCATAAAAATCAGATATACTATTCTAAACTTCTAGAGTAACTTATACTCACATGAATCAACTCAAGGGACCAAAATATACCAAAAACTCTAAACTTAATAGATCTAAAAGATGATTCAATAAGGTTGAGACGTTATACCTCCAAAAGGATGATCAAGGTGAATAGATTCTGGATCCACAAGCTTCTAGTCAACAAGGGCTTCTCCAAAGGGTTATTCTTCCTTCAAGATGCACCAAACGCAGACCAAAACATACACAAGGCTTAATATTCTATCAAAAAGGATTAGGGTTTCATGGGAGTTGCTTTGGGACGAAGGAGGCTGATAATAGAAGGGGTGTTGAAGTTATAAGGTGCTTAAATAGGATCCAAACCCTAAATTTTAGGGTTTACCCTAGGCTCGAGTACACCCAACGTACGCTAGGTACACCCAACGTACGCTAGGTACACCCAACATACCAGGGGGAAAACCCTGTGTCTAAGGCTCGAATAGGTATGCCCAACGTACCTCAATTATACCAAGCATAATGGATCCCTTTGAAAAAATAATTAAACATTTAAATTTTAAGAAATTTACCTGTAAATCGGGCATTACAACTACAATTCGAAAGACTTTGATAATTAATTGATTCATTGAAATTTAATGTTAATTATAATGATTATAATGGTTAATCTTTAAATATAAAACTTCAATTTATTTGCCAAATTAACAAAAAAAAGCTTATCAAAAGTGTAACATCCAGTTTCGGGATGTATCTTATTTTGAGTTTTTGGACTGTAATTCGATCATGTAAAGGCCTTGGGCTTCAAGGAAAGAGGGGGTAGACCCTATTGGATGATGATGATGTTGGATAAGTGATTTAAAACTTGAATTGTACTTTGGAGCTGAAGGGATAACATGGAAAAAGTAATATTTTAGGACGCATGGGCTCTATGCTGAGTGTAGCCTTCTATACATTAAGTGTAGCTCTATACTGAGTGTAGCCTTTTGTACGCTAAGCGTAGCTCTACGTTGAGCGTAAGTCAACTGAGGGTTGACCGTTGACTTTTGGACCGATCTGACTTTTGGTCAACCATGTTGGGACTTAGTGTAGGAAAGGAAAAATGATCTTTTGCCCAAAGAAATTTAGTTGTGAGCCTAGACCTTTTGAGAGTTGGTTATCACCTTAATTGTTAATTAGGGTTTTATTGTGTATGTTTAGCAAGATGAGACATGTTATCGTCGACTCGAGTGTGTGGCTTATCTTTTCTTCAGGATTGAGGTGTTTATTCTCATTATACTACGTAGGATGCTAGTTGTCTTTGTGATACTTGTATGGAAGACCAGTCACTGGCCCCTAACATATGTATGAAAGGCTAGGTGGTAGATCTTGGCAATTGTATGCAAGATCAAGGTCTAGCCCCGATGGTTATATGTAGGATGCTAGTTTTCTTTGTGATGCTCTCATGGAAGACCAGGAGGTGACTTTTGGCACTTATATCTAAGATCAGGGTTGACTCTTGGCATGGTAAGGAAAGACGATTATTCGGCTCATGACATTGGTAGGGAAAGACCATTATTCGACTCATGGCTGATAGTGATTGTAAGACTATGGTTGATACATAACATTGCCTATCCTATGTATGATATGCAATATTTTGGGGAATTCACTAAGCTTTGTGTTTACGGTTTGTGGTTTAAACATTTTCAGGTACTTCCAGTTCAAAAGAGAGGGGTTCGACTTGACCACACAACACCCCTTGATGGCTTTTTCCACACTGATTGTTATTGTTTTACTTTGATGTTTAAATGATACATTTTACCCCGATTGATTTTGGAACAAATGGTTATATGGATTTAATGGTTTTAAATGAAAATTTTTATCGGTATTTTTTGGACGTTAGAAAAAGATATTTTAATAATAATATTATTTTTCGGAAAAGATAGTTGCTTGAATATTTAAAAATAACTAAAAGTTAAATATAATGTTAAATATCAAAATGAAATCCAAATATCAAAATTTACATGCAACTTATAAATATATTACATTTAATTATTACAAAAAAAATATTTAAATAAATTGATTAATTATTGATAGTTAAAAATTGTCATAAATAAAAAAAAAAATTTATTTTTATTTTTATTTATAACATACAAACATCGGCTATTGAAATCAAGTTTTTTATACTTATATATTTTTTTATCATATTATATGAAATAATTAAAATATGTTATAACAACTTGTAAACAATTATTAACTTATTTATATACCATACACATACAACATTTAATCATATTATTATATTTTATGTAATATATTTACTATTTTTTAAACAATTATTAACTTATTTTTAATATTATATACATATCAATATGTAATTATATTATTATATTTTATGTAATATATTTACTATCCTTTAAATCAACATATGCATACTGTAACAACTCCGGTCTCTTAGGCAAGAAAACCATTTGGGCCAAAATTTGTTGTTGGCAATGTTGCCATTAATCCAAAATCCATTATGAATCTCCAATAAAGAATAAGGAACCATGTTCACTCTAAACAATCTATTAACCTCAGGGCTCTTTAACCGGCAAAACTACCAAGTTAAAATCGCAAGAATGGATACCATCGCCGCCGACGACCAAAATCTTGTTGTCAAGCACTCCAGCGATAGCGCAAGCCACCTTTCTCCACCACCACAACCATTATCCAAAAACGCACAGAAGAAGCTATTAAAGCAACAGAGATTTGAAGCCAAAAAAGCAGAGAAAAAAGCCGCCATTAAAGAGGAGAAGAAACGACAGGGTGAGAGGAAACGGAAAGAATGGGAAGAAAAGCTCTCGAATTTATCAGAAGAAGAGAAATTGAAGATGATAGAGACAAGAAAAGGGATGAGGAAAGAGAGAATGGACCAGAGGTCGGAGGAAAGAGAGAGTAAAGCCCTCAGACTATCGGAGGCTAAGAAACACGGGCAAAACATCGTTATTGATCTTGAATTCTCCGATCTCATGGCTCCTAATGAGATTCATAGCCTCGTTAAACAGGTAATTAAGCTTAACATTTCATATGGCTGTTTACAAATGTTATTCTTTCACTAAAGTTGTTGTTGGTGTTTTGGTAGCAATCATCTTGAACTAAAACTTTCTTGTGTGGATTACTTATTGACATTAAAATACAGATAATGTATTGTTATGCTGTGAATGGAAGAAGTGTAATCCCATCTCATCTCTGGTTGACTGGCTACGAGGGAGAAATTGGAAATCAATTACAAAAGATCCCGGGATTTGATAAATGGATAATTGAGAAAGATAATGGTCCATATATCAATACATTTGAAACTCAAAAGGAGCATTTGGTGTATCTAACAGCAGATTCTGAAACTATGCTCGATGAATTAGATCCAAAGAAAATCTATATTGTTGGTGGGCTTGTTGATAGAAATAGATGGAAAGGGATAACCATGAAGAAAGCTTTAGATCAAGGAATTCAAACAGCAAAACTCCCCATTGGCAACTACCTCAAGATGTCTGGTTCTCAGGTATATTGATGATTTTGGTTTGTAGAATGTTTTTATATAATGAATTTCCATTTACTTAAAACTATTTGTTACCCTAAAATTGACAAATTGGATTTGGTCTCATAAGTTGTTTGTGTCTCTAAATCTAGGTCCTTACAGTAAATCAAGTGATGGAAATACTTCTCAAATACTTGGAAACTAAAGACTGGAAAGCTTCATTCTTCCATGTGATTCCACAAAGGAAAAGATGTGAAACTGAAGCACAAGGGTCCCACGAAGAAGAAGAAGAAGAAGAAGAAGAAGAAGGTGAAGAGGAAGAGAAACTTGATCAAGAGATTAAAAGGCAATGCGTTGAAACATAGGTAGCTTAATTTTAGGTGTAGCCTTTCATTGTAACTTATTAATGTTTCTGTTGTTTTCATATTTTGATTTTGTGTTCAAAGTTACAAATTGGTTTTGAAGCCTTCTATTGCAGATATTTACCTAAATTTGGGGTAATAAACAACTAGATGAACTAATGCATTTATAAAAACGAATGTTAACCTATAACTCGATAAAACATTTAAACCTTAATTCTGGAGATTATGTTTCAACATATAGTGCCCATTACAGGTTATATTTCGTTTTATTTGCTTTCAGATCCATTCCATCATACCAAACAGACAATTAAAAATCTTATAAAGGAAAGCAGATTACCACTACTTGATCAGCATGTTAACCGTTTTACATGCCTTTCCAAAGTGACCCAATGTAATTTGTTATACCATGAGCCAAAAAAAGAAAAAAGAAAAAAAAGAAGCAACAACAAACCACATGCATCATGATCTCATCATCACCACCATTTCTCACTCTTTACACTGAGCATACGGTTCGAAACCCGCAACAGCAGCCGCACCAGAAGGCCCACCACTTGATGGGTCCTTCAAGAACCCACCAATGCTAGCAGGACCAAAGAACCCATTATGATGATGACCCATATGAAACCCATGCACAAAAGGACCCATCCCATATGGACCCGGGTCAGCGGTTCGTTTAATCAGCGGGTCACCCCTTATGGACCCACGTTCACCACCGTCAAACTCACGGTAGCGGTGGAGGTACACAGTCAGTGGCTCGATGTAATCATCGAACCCTAATTTGCTCATGGCCCACAAGACATCTTCAGCTGTGATGGTCTTTCTTTGCTCACGTTGGCATCGATCATTGGCTTCACCAGTGACAAAGCTTATGTATTCGGATACGCATTCTTGGATTGTTTCTTTTGCATCATCAGAGATTTTGGCGTGTGGTGGGAGGATTTTTCGCATGATTCGGATCACGTTTGCTATTGGCATGAAGCGGTCTTGTTCTCGGACTGTGCATTCGTTGTCATCTGTGGATGTGTTGGTGGTAGGGGTGGAGATTTCGGGGAGCTTGAGCTTCATGTCCGGTTGGTGCATCCCTGTAGAGTAGGTAGTGTGACAAGTTTACAGATTAGACAGGAGGTGAGAATCCATAGCAGAACGTGAAAATGTCTAGTTAAACAAAATAGGTGGTAAGAATCCATAAGAGATACATCGGATTAGATAGAATAGAGGGGAGGTGAGAATCAATATTTTGTAGAGTTCAAGTCAACTTCATCTTTCTTGAGATGGGGACATAATTTACCTTCATATTTTGGTTGCAACGGGTGAATATAACCTTCTCATCGTTTGTAAGTAATATAACAAATGTGATAAATCAATTAAAGATAATGATGGTTGATGGGTTTGATAGATTTCTGTGAGAAGCAAGAAATTTAGAATAATGTAAAAGGAAATATGGAAAAAACATATATGCAAATATATATAGGTGAAAATACAAAAAAACGTACACAACCTATTATCCAACTATATTCGAAACAAAATTAACCCATATATTATTTTTTTTTTTAGAGAAAAAGACACATTATTTTTACCTATAGATTTTATTAATATTTCCAATAGAAAGCTATTAATCGGTTTATTGTAAGTCGACAATTGTGGATGATGACATGGGTGGTCCATATCATCCTTTGACTTCTATAGCGTATCAAGAAGAAAAACTCAATATATAATGTGACTAATGACATGTTTGATAATGAAGTTATACCTTTTGATACGTTGTTATAAGAGGCCAAAGGATGTCATGGACCATCCATAGACCATCCATGTTATCAGTCACATTAGTCACATTACGTTTAATTACCACATCACTTAAATCAAACTGATCAATAGTAATTACCAAAAAATGGATAAAATCAATAAGTAAACGATAATGTTTTTTTATGAACAAAAAAATAATATAATAAGAGTTTTTCCGTATATAAATGCATAGTAGGTTGTGGTTTTCTCTATTATGCTTATATATACACTTAATACAAAAGCAACTATGACAATAATAGACTATCTATAACTAAAGCTATGCTAAATTGGTAACACTCTTCTTCAAAAATCACGATGGTATTGAAGAAACCAAAATAAGTTTGGAGATCACATCATGAAAACGGGCTATATATAGACAGTGAAGTTTTTTTTTGAAAAGAGCTGGCAATGTGCTTTGGTAAATACACCAACAGATCGAGTATAAGTGAATTTACAAAATGTTGTGTTCAATAAGGTGAAAACTATCTATAAATACAAAACTATCCGTCAAAACTCAAGATTTGAACAAACTAAATTGAGTTTAGATACCATAGCATTATGTTTTTGAAGTGAACGTACTTAGATTTTAGAGGAGGGAAATTATCATTCTTTCCAATACTTGATTAAAACATTAAATAATAGATTAATATCATTTGGTCGATTGTTAAAAGTCGAGAAATTTCGAAATGTTACAATGTAAAATCATATTAAATTATTAATATATACCAAGTCCTCTCTTACAGATTAAAAATAAGCATGGATTTAAATGGAGAAAAGCAAAAGGAGGTTGAAACTTGAAAGTGGAAGGAGGCAAAGTGTGCATATGTGACAGATTCGTGTTGTCAAGATGAAAGACAGATAATCTTGCATGCATGCCACTTGTTCTACACTATTTGTCTTCTGCAATTAGCACATTTCACAGACTCAAGAAGTAACGAAGAACAGATCAAACAGACTTCCATGGCCGATGAACAACAATACTTGCTCATAACACCTTAAAAACTTCAAACACACCCATCACCAATCGATATTATATATTCTCTCTCATCAACACGATCCCCCAATTTATTTCTCGTTTGAAAAGTTAAAATTGTTTACTAGAAACAAAAAGTTAATCCAGAGTATCTTAGTTGTCTGTGAAGCAATAAAGAATGTAGACGAATCACTGAAAGATGTCGACATTTGTATTAATTAATCGTGCACTATATTACTCACAAAACTTTGCATCGAACTATTGTCTGTAAGTTGAAGCACAACACTGAGGAATTAACGATACTTGACATGATTGAAAGAACACATTTTGCATGCAGAAGTTAAATCAAAAACCTAATTCAAGATTTCTTGAAATGAATAAAGAAGAGACATAAGGAGAGGCCAATGCAGTTGCAGGAAAAGAAAGATCCCCAGTAAAGTAACAGAAACATTATATATATTTATAAATATATTTATAGAGTAAATTATATATAGTACCAGATGTAGGGTGGATGGGGAGCCTGTGGTAGCCATGGAAACCTCCTCCACGTTCCATCTCCTTTCTCTCTCTAGGAAGCTCTCTTTCTCTCTCTAGAATTTGAAAAAAATAGAAGTGTTGATAACAGATAGAAAAGAGAGAGAGAGAGAGAGAGAGAGAGAGAGAGAGAGAGAGAGAGAGTGCATGTTTTCTTAGGCAAATGTAGATGGTGGGGTGGTGGGAAAGATGAAGACACGTGGCATGGAGGCGCGGTGAACAAGAACAGTGTATTCGCCGGAGCCACCCCTTCGCATTCACTGCGCATTTGACCGCCACCCTCTTTCGCTAATGCATGGCCACACCTACCCCTTTTTGGATTTATCTGCCCCACTCGATCCTCTGTCGTTTTACATATCAAAAAATCTCATTTTTCCAATATCAATATATATTCCATCTATGCATGCATTACTTTTACTCTTCTTTTCATAAAAACAAGTAAGAATTAGCATTACACATACCATTTTGCATGGCAATGTGCTTGAGACTTGAGAGATTAATTAACCATTACATTACATTATCATATCTTGATATTACATTATCATATCTTGATATTACAACAATCCATCCCAGAGAAAAACAATATTGATACATTATATTAATAATGGATCAAAGAGTTTAATTAAATTCACCAAACAAACACCACAAGATACAACGAATAAAATAGAATCAAAAGAGGAAGAAGGGAAAACAACAACAAAGGTAACATAGACGATGGTGAATCATCATTGTGCTGCATATAATGAGGAAAGAAAAACCCCGATGATAAAACAAGCAAAAACATCAACATTAATGCAACTTTTCTCTCATTCATCCGATTCCTTCCTCCTTTTTCCTTTCTTTCAGTAACTTCCTCCATTCTTGTTCCTACCATGGTGGATCACCAGCCGCCGGAGATTAGGTGAGATGGTGGTGGTGGCTTCGGGTGGTGGTTGTGTGAGTGTAACCAAGGAGAAAATAAAGAGAAAGAGAAGTTAAAATGTGGGTCTGTTGAAAAACTTTAAATTTACCATTACGTTATGGTATACGTGCATTAAATTGCATAAAAGTCAATGGTCATCAAACTCCGCATTGTACATTGTATGCCATTAATACCATCTTTTCTGCCATTAAAACAATATTTAAACCAACATCTCATACACTAAATATGAGTTTTTTGGTTTTTACCTTTCAAGTCTACACAACTCGAACCAACATCTCATACACTACTAGTATATATATATATATATATATATATATATATATATATATATATATATATATATATATATATATATATATATATATATATATATATATATATATATATATATATATATATATATATATAAGTCTTTTTTACCTTAACTTTAAGTCTACAAAATTTGATACACCAATAACAACAATGTAATACATATATAAAAATCTTCTTCTTGACTTCTCATACAACATCCCTAGTGCAACTCCTTCGTGGTTTGATTTTGATCTTCTTCATGAGAATTCCCTGAAATAAATCCAGTTTTATACAACATTTCCAACTCATTAAAATACGTGCACACTTGACTCTTTCCACTACTCTCCTTTCGATTCTCCATTGTTCTTCTATAATACTTGTTGATATTATCCCATTTCTCTTTGCATTTTTTTGGAGTCCGATTATACCCCATACCAGATAATCCGGCAGCCACCTCCTCCCAAACACCACCTCTCTGGCATTTTCCGGTGAACTTCTGATTCAAAGCAGCTCGAATTGTTATCAGTGCTTGTACTTCAGATTTTGGCCATCTTTTCATATTTGAATCACATGGATCATGTTCTTCAAGATTACTACCAATTGGATCATGACATGTGAGTTCTTGATCATTATTATTATTATTACCTGGATTATCAGATTTACAAGTTTCTTCATTTTGATTTTCTTGGGTTGCATCAAGATTAGGGTTTGGGATTTCGATGGTTTGGCCTAATGAGTTTTGAATGAAGGTGATGAGAGCTAGGCTGCGGGATATTTCTTGTTTTCTGGCTTGTTCTTCCCGTTTTGCCCTTTCGAGTTCTTGTTTTTTCCATGTTTCTTCTCGTTTGATTCTTTCGGTTTCTTTCTGTTCTAGAATCTCCATCAGTTGTTTGTGCATTTCTTCTTGCTTTGCTATTACTGTTTTCATCATGGATTCGATGAATGACTCGAGTTTTTTCCTGGATTTTCTCTTCCTTTTCTTCTTGTTTATGGGTTCCTCAATGGGTTCTTGAAGTTTGCTGCTTTCATCTGAAGAACTGAAACAAGAGAATGGAGTTGACGAATTGGTAATACTCAAAGAAACCAACATAAAGTTCTAAACTTGATGAACAGGAAAAAAAACTCTCAGACACTCATGAATAGAGGACAAGATTTACCATTACCAGTAGTCTGATTGTTGATACTAACATATAATCAGAAGAAATGCATGAATTGAATCTACAAGAAAAAAAGTTAGACGCAATTCCCATTCTGATATAGTAAAAGCCCAAAAACTACAACACAAATTCAACATAGCAAGATTACAAGGGAAACTTGTAACACTGAACACTCCAAAGCTCGATAACCATTGGATCAGTTCCACATTAATTCAACAATTTCCAATTCTATGAGAGAAAAATCAAAACTTTCTTTTGGACTAAGAAGGAATTTCAAGAATCCCCTGTCTCAAAACCCTCTCCCACCAAGAAAAGAAATTCATGGCATATAATGCTAGCATAGTGAAAAACTCAAAGACCTTGCAAGTGCCAACATCTTCTGTGTAAAGATCAATCATGAGAACTAAAAGAAAACATCTCG